AGAAACAAAACACAACCCCGGCACCGCCACGCTCTCCCTCCTTCTCCTCTCGGCTTTTGGTGGTTGTTTTTTGGGGTGTTTTTAAATTTATTTTTTCTTTTAATTTTTTTTTTTCTTGGGGATTCTCCTCTCTCCTGCCAGACTGACTTACACGTTCTTGATAATTTCTCTTCCCCTCATTTTTTTATACTCTTCTCCCTGCTTCCAAACCCTGTGTCTGTGTGTTTCAATACTATCACAACCTCTGCTAAAAATAGATCTTTTTATACCCTTCCTCCTCTCTGACCCCATCCAACACCCCTTGTTAAGGTGAGTTGTGTCTTTTCATCACTTTTTTCCTTGTGTGTTGGTTTTGTTTTTTCTTTTTGGTTTTGGTTGTTTTTTTGGTATTTTGGTTTCGGTTTTTTTTTTCCTTTTTTTGTTGTATGTTTTGCTTTTTTCCCCATTTAGGGCAGGTTTTAGGGAGGAGGGGATGTGGAGGAGAGAATTTCACGGGGAGTCAGGCAAAGCCTTATTTTGCCTTCTGCAGCCTCAGCATCATTCTGGACTGCTCCCTTTTATCCCAAGGATGTAGCTGGCTGATGAAAGTGGGGAACTACTCTTCCTTAGCTCTGCATGCTTGGGAGCCACAGCAACAGCAGGAAAAAAAAACCAACAAGCTTCTCCTTTTCCTTTCGTCCTACCCCCCACTCCCTTCCTCATTCCCTCCTCCTTGCTGTGTCGTTTATTTTTTTATTTTATTTTATTTTATTTTGGTGGGATGTTTGGTTGGGATTTGGTGGTGGGTGGGTTTTTTTGGTTTGTTGGGTTTTTTTTGGTTTTTTTTTTTTGTTTGTTTGTTTTTCTTTCTGTGTGTGTGCTTGGTTTCTGTTTTGAAGCAATACACAGGGGACTTGGAATGAATTGCATGTAGTGCCAAGGGAGCTCTGTGTGTGTGTGCACGTGTGTCTTGAGAGCGAGTGAGCGTGTGGGTGAGTGTGCAAAGTGCATTTGTATTTTGTGTTCCTGGGGTGATGAGTGTAAAAGCCACCAAACAGTCCCTGTACATGGAGCAAGGAGCACAGCAGGGGCTGCTCAGGGAGAAGCTGGTCAGGGATGCAGGAAAGCTACAGAGCTCTTCACAGAGTTCAGTCCCTTGTGCTCCAGAACATCTTTCCATAGATCATTGCTGGCACCTTCAAGGTGATGGTTCCCATTCCTCTCCTGGCTTCTCAGTAGAGGAGGGCAGGAAAGGAAAACTTTACAGCTAATGAGGAGGGATAGCATTTCTGTTCCTCCAGCAGCCCGAGACAGTGTTATTCCAGGGATGAGTGGGGAAAATAAGAGTTGTGATCCAGAGCAAATGGATTGTTTGCTGTTACACATTAGTGTTCAGTGAGAAAAAGAGACATGAAACATTATCAGTTTGGTCAGCCAGCAGAAGCATCGGAGTCCGGCTTACTTCCCAATTCCGAAGTTGTTTTAGATTGTTTTTCATTCTTCAGAAAACTGTGCCTATTGAGTGCAGAAATGTGCTTTTACGGTAAAACAGTCTATTATAAATTTTTGGGGAACGATTTATTATTCAGAGGCAATCAAGTGATTTATACGTTTCATGGATTTCCCCCAAGTCTTTTCATGTGCCTTCAATTATGTATTTTACCTATGAGTGTGAAGCGGGGTAATATAGATTTTAGTTGCATTTTAACAAGGTGTTAAGGCATAACTTGCAGGGTGCCATTTGCCAAGTGTCACTTAATATGAAGCAAAATAACAGCCTCTAGCTCTTTTTCATGGATTTTTCACATCTCTCTTGTTTGTTTCAAAGCAAGCGGCGATTTTGCTTAAGAACTTGTAAGGAAAACTGGCTTCACAATGGTACACAGTTTCAGATATTAGCTCAAAAGTATTAACACTTGTCTGGCTGTGAGACCTGAATTTACTTATAAAATACAAATACAAAGTGAAAGAGCAGTTGGTATACATGGTTTTCTAACAGGTTGAATCATTTTTGTATCTAAAAGTTTACAAATGAGCTAAAATGGTTGTTGTGATCTGTGTTTGGAGGCCTTAATGGGTACAGGAACATTAATGTTTCCTGTCTAGTTAATGCAATTCCAAAATATCCTGTCTTTCCACATGCTGCATAGATAGCACTCAGTAAAAATGAGCAGTCATGGAAATAGTCTTGTGTTATCAAGGGACATTTCATCATTTCTTGTTAGCCAAAATTAAAATATTTTACACAAGTTTGCCTTGGAATTTTTTTTTCTGCTGTGGCTGGCTGATTGTGAAAGTGGGAAGCATGCTTTGAGTGAGATGTGACATTCCTGATGCTTGATATCTGTGAGGGGAGAGACACTTGATGTGCTGTGTACATCATTCTTGAAGGGATGCAGGGTAAGAAAAAGGGATGGAAAACGAGCACAGTGCACTGGCAGTTTAGATAAATAAATATGGGTGATGCATGTTAGCTTGTCATCTGCGGTTCTGCTGAACCCTGACTGCTGGCTAAACATATTTTCTTGGTAAGCACTGCAATGTGATACAATTTTTCTGGTTTGATAGAGTTTGCTGTTCACATGTAGCACAGAACAGTTCTTGTTCTGTAGATAAAAATCTTGCCACCTCGTTTTAATCCACTGAAATATCCACTACTCCTACTGAAGTCACCTGGAGTTACCTGTGATCAGCACTCTTCATGGTTTTTTATCTCACGTATCAGGATTTGGGATATTTCCAAAGGATGCTATTGACAGCAGATCTCGTTTTGTTTAGATTTTACTTTAGGTGCATGTTGTGTGTTTACAGGTAGACACTATCTTTTACCACAACAACACTAAAATATATCAGGAAATGGAAAATTCTTAATATTGTTTTTCTCAGGAGCTTTTAAAGAGAATTCTCCCAATGTCCTTTAACTGCTTCAGGAAAAGCAGTGCTCACTTCAAAATCTATACACTAGCAATCTTTAGTTGGTTGCTTAGCTGTTGGTGAAAAAAAAAAAAAGAATGTTTGTACACAAAAAGAGCAAGTCATGTGTTTGGGGTTTTTTTCTGACAACTGAAAGACAGGAGTGCTTTCAGCTGGGCATGACAGTGTTGAAGTAAGGTTGATGTTGAGTTTGATCTGGGGGTTGTTCCCACTGGCATGAGTGACAACACACCAACACTTAGCTTATTCTGTCATGTACTGACCTAGATTAAACATCTCTAACTTATATTTTGAGATTTGGATATGGCATCAAACCTTGGATTTATTCACTTCTAAAGCCTTTTTTGTTTGTTTGTTTTGTTTTTGAAACAAGTCTTTTAAAGCTGTGAACTCCTATAAACAAAATAATGGAGTGTTCATAAGTCACTCCAAGTTTGTGGACCTTATTGCTGTGAAAGTAAGGTGGGATTTCTCTCTACTGCTCACCAACTGAAATTATTTTCTTGTATTATTGCACCTTGTTATTCTGCAATGTGAGTCTAAAATGCCTAGTCAAAACAGTTTTTATTCTGTGGATGTGGTGGTTCCACAAAAGAAGAACATGTGTATTTTGTCTTGTCCTAAATTGCAACTACCCATCAGGTTCAGTGACATTTTGTTGCAGGGCAAAGTTGCTGTTTCATTTGGGTGTAGTTATCGAGGAAACCGTATTGATGACAGACTTTCTTAGAGTTTTAACAAAGTGAACGAGAACTGTTACAGGACTGCCTGGTAATTTTGGGGCTGGGGTGCAGTGGTTTTATCTGTATCCATGCAGAATGCAATTACAGTATACATTAAAAATCAGTAGCATCTGAAAATCCATTTTTCTCTTTAGATACCTTTTTGTTTACTAGTTTAAAGTGGTACGATATATGTATGCGTTTCCATCCGAGTGCATATTTGTAATTTTAACACATTTAGATGAATGATGTTACCTTAAGCAAAGACGACTATTTATTTGCATTTTGTCTGCTGGAAATATGGTCTTTATAATAAAATAGGTATTTTTTCTTCTGTTGTACCTGCTTATGCATAGAAGAAAATTAGTATTTTCCTCCTGAGAAATGTGTTACTCTGAAGAACCAGATGCTGAACAGATCTACTCGCAGTTCCCTTCCCATTCTTGGTGCATGTGGATGAGTGTCAGAGGTAACAAGTGCTCAGGCATGGCAGGGACAGGAGGAGGGTGGCTCTCTGCAAAGCAGGAGGGCTAATGATCTGATGCTGCAGTGGATGAGTTGTTCAGGGCTAAGAGAGCAAAGTGCTCCCTCACCCTTAACAGTGATATACTCCTTTGTCTTATGGCTTGTGTTCGTCAGTCTGCTTGGTTTTCCTGTTATTAGTTAGGGAAGATTACAGTCTGGCAATGCTAACACAGCTTCCTGATGACAATGGTTTGTAGGAGGTCAAGTGAAAAGTAATTCGGGAGAGGGGTCTCCAGCTACGGTGTTTCTTTGTGGTCTGTTTTTATTTACTCCAGTTTTCCCTGGATTTGCATCCAGCTATTCTACCCTACTTGCTGGCATAGGCTGGAGGTTGTTTTGTGTGCAGAAAGTGTTTGTAGGAATGGGGAAAAAATGTTATTGTTAACTTTAGACAACACAGTGTAACTGTTCCACCAATTCCAACCAAATTCAAGAAGAGCTGTGGAACTGGAGCTAAAATGCTCAGAATTTGCTTGATATAAATATGATATTTCATGTCTCGTGAGCAGAGACACGTTTTTAAAGGTGTTCAATTCAAAGGGAATGCATTTTTCGGAATGAGTTTTACTGTAAGTCCCAGTGATCATTCATGTCCCAAAGAATCTGCTAGGAGCAGCCCAAGTGATTACAGGTTAAAGTGGGGTGAGGCAGCTCCTCCTGCTCCATCCACTGCTGCAGCTCCATGCTGGTAGATGGGTACCTGTTCCAGCACTGCCATTGTATCAGTGACAAAACTTAAATTTTGTTTATAGGGTGGTATACATAATGCACTATTGATTCCTGCTAGCCTGCAAGGCTTTTAACAGAGTATGAATCCAATAATTTTGATTATGGATCTTGCAACATCTGACTTTGTCATCTATGCATTAGATATATTTAGATGCTGTGAACACTTAATCCAAAGGGGCAAAATGCTTGTCTTCTGTAAATGACAGAAAAAATACTTAATTAGTTCATTCATTTGGCCTTTTAAGGTGTGGATGGCTCAGGACTATACATTTCTTGATTACAATTTGGCTCTTGGTTTACTTAAAAATAGTTGCAGAAGGATTTACTATTAATAATTTTTGACAAGCTCTTTTGTGTGCATTTTAAAAAGTGGTTAGTTTTATAGCAAGGTTTTAGGGCCAACCTTAAAAGTCTGATGAG